GGAGGGACAATTTGGAGAGTCGGGAGATTAAGTTGAGGAAATGTCTTCTTGGACGTGCCCCACTTTTTTTCTTTCTTTTTTTTTTTGGCGTGGGATCATAGCTCCTCTCTCTTTCAGTAAGCCCTTGATGTAGACTGTAGAGGTAGCAAAGTGTTTTGTTTGCTGGGTTACACAATTTTCCCTGCCAAGAACAACAGTCTGCTTTCAGCTTTGAACGTGTCATCTAATTAAGCCTTCCTGAGTAAGGAAATGTCAAAATTGTGTCCTATCTCTGAGTGGGTTACGTAAGCCATTAATCTTCAGGACTTTTTTTTTTTTTTTGCAAGAAAAGGTTGGTTGGAAGCAACAGAGAAGGCTGAGAAAAGGTTGGTGAGGAACGGAGAAGAATGCTGACAGCTTTCTCCAAAATAATAAAGAGAGTCTTGGGTTCAGACTTTGGGGGAAAAAAAGGACCATCGCAAAATGATATCTTACGCATTGCTGAGGTCCTTCCAGGCTGTTCATTTGGCCACAGGGATTCTTTCTTGGGTGGATTGTGTGTTTTGCCTCATGCCGTCATTCTGCTGAACACTTAATTTCCATAGTTCTGTCTTATGTCTCAGTCTATTACCCATGTAGTATGGCCACATTGCTTTTACCCTTCCTATCTGTTCCACCACCTTCTCTTATTGGTGTCATTATTATGATTATTATCCTCTGTTATTATGATTATTAATACTTTGTTGTTTTGCATGTACTCTGAGAGCTTCTCCACTGGAGACAAATTCCTTTTGTGTCTAATCATACTTGGCCAATATTCCTATTCTGTTCTGTTCTGTTCCAGTTCCAGTTCTAATTCCATTCCATTCCATTCTTATTCTATTCTATTCTATTCTATTCTATTCTATTCTATTCTATTCTATTCTATTCTATTCTATTCTATTATTCTTATTCTTTCCTATTCTTATTTCTATTCTATTCTATTCTATTCTATTCTATTCTATTCTATTCTATTATTCTTATTCTTATTCTTTCCTATTCTTATTTCTATTCTATTCTATTCTATTCTATTCTATTCTATTCTTATTCTTATTCTTATTCTTATTCTTGTTCTTTCCTATTCTTATTTCTATTCTATTCTATTCTATTCTATTCTATTCTATTCTATTCTATTCTATTCTATTCTATTCTATTCTATTATTCTTATTCTTATTTTTTCCTATTCTTATTTCTATTCTATTCTATTCTTATTTCTATTCTATTCTATTCTATTCTATTCTATTCTATTCTATTCTATTCTATTCTATTCTATTCTTATTCTTATTCTTATTCTTTCCTATTCTTATTTCTATTCTATTCTATTCTATTCCATTCCATTCCATTCTATTATGGAAGCATTGAACTGGAAAATATTTCTCTGCAAATAGGTATGATTCCAAACAGCATATTGATCGCAGTGTCCTTGGTGTACAAAAGTATTTGTGCTCTGTTATTTTATGTGGGAAAAACTCCAGCCTGTTAAGTGAGCCTTGAAGCAAGGCAGCACTAAACGTTGCAACGGCTGTGGAGAAAAAACACATTTTTTCCGCTGGAATGTTGGAAACCATCGAGGGCCGTAGGTAATAAAACCATCAGATACGATACAACTTTGAAGCTGCCAAAACTAATTTGAAGCAGACAATTTCCCACACAAAATGTTGAGTCTGGAAAACGCTCCAGGTTCCCTTTCCGCCTCTCGGTTAGATCCCATCTTTGAAGAACGCAGCAAGGTGATCTCTGAATGGGCGTCCATTTCACCAGCTTTCAGAACTGTTGGAAAGTACGACAGCTCATGGTAGCATCCTTCCCCCGAGTCACGTGATCAAAATTCAGACGCTTGGCAATTGACTCATATTTACGACGGTCGCAGTGTCCCCTTTAGCGACCTTCTGACAAGCCAAGTCAATGGGGGAGCCAGATTCACTTAACAACCGGGTTACTAACTTCACAACTGCAGTGATTCATTTAGCCACCATGGCAGGAAAGGTCTTAAAGTGGGGCATAACTCACTTGACAAATGTCTCACTTAGCGACTGGGGTTTTGAGCTCAATTGTGGTCGTAAGCCAAGGACTATCTGTGCTCAGGACATCCCAAAAGAGGCATTTCTTTTGACAAGTTTTTAACTCCAAAGGGAGCTTGAATATTAATTTTACGCTTGGAACGTTTGACCTCGCTTTTTTTTTTCTTACAAAGTTTTATTAGTTGCCTTGTGTGTCCTTTTTGAGCAGAAAAGCAGACTGTACATTGAATCAGTAGGTAAATAAAATAATCACAAACCCCATTTAGGCAGGCTTTTATTGTCCCCTGCCCTTGCCAAAAACCCAGGCCCAAGGTAGCCTTGCAGCTGTAGGATTCCCATGACAAAAAGTTTTATCTCAAATTTTTGTTTATCCTTAGGATAAAGATCTGCCCGAAGTGAATGGCGATTTTATTGACTGTACTCAGTTGAAGGATATTCTTATTTGCTTTTCTGGAAACACAGCATCACTAGCCTGATTAGGGCTATTTTTTTTTTGAAACATGTTTTATTCGATAAAATGAAGACCTTAAGAGCCAAGGTTATATGTGAGGGGGTTTTTTTCTTTTTTGTTCTGAAGCAAGTCTCTCTCTCTCTCTCTCTCTCTCTCTCTTTCTCTCTCTCTCTCACACACACACACAGAAAATTAATTTGAATAAATGAAAATTATGCCACCAGGTGGCAGTGTATACTCATTGCATACTTTATCTGGCACAATGTCTATTTATCTTTATAGGTGGCTGAGAATGAAAGAGAGAAGAAGAGACAAAATGTATGATTAAAAGAAATAATCAGAGTCTAATTTCATTCTAATTTTTATTGGAAATGGCTTTTCAGTTTAATCTGGCATTAAAAATATGCACAAAACAAAATCCTTTCCTTCCTTCCTTCCTTCCTTCCTTCCTTCCTTCCTTCCTTCCTTCCTCCCCCTCACTTTCCCTTTCTCTCCCTCCTTACCTTCTTTCCTTCCTTCCTTCCTTCCTTCCTTCCTTCCTTCCTTCCTTCCTTCCTTCCTTCCTTCCTTCCTTCCTTCCTTCTTTCCTCTCCCGTTTCCTTCCTTCCTCCCCTCCCCTCCCTTTCCCTCCCTCCCTCCCTCCCTTCCTTCATTCCTTCCTTCCCTCCTTCCATCCATCCATCCATCCATCCATCCATCCATCCATCCATAGTTCCGTATGACAGTCCACTCACATCGCAGGATTATTGTGGGAAAATACAGGGCAAGATCCTTACGTTTGGTGCCTCAAGTTGTACGAAATGAGCAGAGGATATAAATATATCTGCCTGAAATTGCTGGCAGTGGTGTGGTGTGAACATTTAATTAATTAACAGAGAAGGGCCTAATCATAATTCTTAAAAATGCCCGAATACAGCTCTTGTGATACGCGTGGAAGTCGAAGAACTTGATAAGGAAGAACCTCAAGTGTAACGTAGGAACGGGCTGGAGAGGCGTGCACGGGAACACACTGATGATCATCCTAAACACCTTTGCATCAAAATGCTGAAGACACCCCAGAACTCATGAATAGATGGAAGCAGAGAGTAGAGGTGCTTCACAAAGCATGTTAGTGGAAGTGAAAGACCCTTCCTTGAAGCACTAAAGTAGCCGCATTTGGGGGGAAGCTCCACACGGCTCCTTGAAGATCTTCAGCTTTCTTTGTCCATTGCGTGACCTCTGATCAGTGAAGCACTTTTGAAATCCTTCTAGAGGATGCTGCTACCTTGACGCCTTCAAAAGGAGGGCTTTGCTTCCTTTGAATGCTTATCACCATGCCACGGATTAGAAGCACAGGGTACCTTATTACCTGTTGGTCCCCAACCTTCAGGTGTAACCTTTTTGTAGGTTGAAGGAACCTTAGTAGAAAAAAAAAACTGGGACAATTTCTACCGATAGAAGAGGATGTTTATACTCATAGTTGAATTGTGGGGTCCTTGGTGCTCTCCGAACTGGGTGGTTTTCTTACAGACCTTTCATGACCCGACTAGGTAACGTCATCAGTGCTAGGAGGGAGTGTGGGGTTTGCTGTCATTTTATATGCTAGTGGCTTGCCCTGTCAGTGTTGGTGGGAATGCGGTTTTCTTCTGGATCAGGGGTAGGCAACCTTGGCTCTTTTATGACTCGTGGACTTCAACTCCCAGAATTCCTGAGCCAGCATGGGGGAACTATGGCCCCCTCATGACTCGTGGACTTCAACTCCCAGAATTCCTGAGCCAGCATGGTTCAGCTTGGAAATCTCTCCCTTTCCCCTCAGCATGGCTGGCTCAGGAATTCTGGGAGTTGAAGTCCACGAGTCATAAAAGAGCCAAGGTTGCCTACCTCTGGCCTAGGCCTAGGGCGCTTTATGACTCGTGGACTTCAACTCCCAGAATTCCTGAGCCAGCATGGCTCAGCTTGGAAACCTCTCCCTTTCCCCTCAGCGTGGCTGGCTCAGGAATTCTGGGAGTTGAAGTCCACGAGTCATAAAAGAGACAAGGTTGCCTACCCCTGTTCTTGATGGTTCTTTGATTGGCTTATTATTTACTGTTACCTTGCTTGTCTGAGTTGGTAGTTCCTTTGGGAATTTTAACTTTCTGATTGTCTCTTTTGAATAGTATGTAGATATTGTTTATCTCTACGTACCCATTGATGGCTGATTTGTGCCAGGCTTCAAAGAACTTTCTAGCATTTTTGCTTTAGCTTGGATAAGGAAGCACTGAGAACACTCTTAACCAATACTGACAAGGCAAGACACCAGTATATAAAAAGAGAGCAACCCCCTCTCCCTTCTAGCAGAGATGCCATTACCTAGTTGGGTAACGAAACGTCTGCAAGAAAACCACCCATCCCAGAGAGCACCAAGGACCCCACAAACTGCTTGTAGTTGGGCACATTTCTCTACCTTTTTGCATTCGTATCTACAAACTCATTTTAATACCAGCTGTTAAAAACCACTTCTAAAAACGCTAATAAAAGTATTCTTTTTGCAGCTTAATCCTCACTACCCAGATGGCTGCAATGGGGAAAAGGTCCTGGTAAGTCCCAACTCCTTTAAATAAAATGTGGTGAAATATTTCCCTGTACAATCTTCTTACAAAAAAACTCTGATATTTGAATATTGAAAACAAATGGCACTTCTTTCCTGTTCAACTTTTTTTTTTTTTTTGCGCCACAAAACAAGATGCTTATTTAAGCTATCAACTCGGATCTGTTTCAGCATTTTGGGAGAGCAGCAGGTACGAAAGCTTAGGGTTGAGTTTGTATCAGGGCAGCATCCTCAAGCGTTACACGGCATCTCGGCCACACACTCTCAGGCATGCATCTTTCGAGCATCTTTCAGGAAGAGCTTGGTGGCCAAAAGGACTTCCTTAATTAACAATTCAGGTTGTACCGATAGAAGAAATTAAGTGCCCGCGCGAGACAGCAGGAATGACAGCTAGTTCTCGACTTAACAGCAGTTCATTTAGTGATCATTCAAAGTTACAACGGCCCTGAAAAAGGGGACTTACCACCCTTTTTCACACTTACGACCGTTGCAGCATCCCTGCGGTCACGTGTTCAAAATTCAGATTCTTGGCCACTGATTCGTATTTATGATGGTGGCATCATCCCAGGGTCACTTTACAATGTTGCAGTGTCCCGAGGTCAGGTGATCCCCTTTTGTGACTGCCTGACAAGCAAAGTCACTGGGGAAGCCAGATTCACTTCACAACCGTGCTACCAACTTAACATCTGCAATGATTCGCTTAACGACGGTGGCGAGAAAAGTGGTAAAATGGGGCAAAACTCACTTAACCAACGTCTCACTTAGCAATGGAAATGTTGGGCTCAGTTGTGGTTTTAAGTTGAGGACCAACTGTAGTGAGAGTTAACAGTCAGCTCCTAGACCAGGGGTAGGCAACCTTGGCTCTTTTATGACTCGTGAACTTCAACTCCCAGAATTCCTGAGCCAGCATGGCTGGCTCAGGAATTCTGGGAGTTGAAGTCCACGAGTCATAAAAGAGCCAAGGTTGCCTACCCCTGTCATAGACAAATGAAGTGATTCCCCATTCCATCTCTGCAGAAAGAGAACGAGCTTCTAACCTCAAAGAAGAAACGGCAAGCGGGAGAGAAGATTATGTACACTCTGGTGTCTGTCCCTCATGGAAATGACATTGCCTCTCTATTTGAACTGGATGCGACCACTTTGCAAAGGGCGGACTGCCTGGTTCCAAGGTACTGTTGGGAGACGGAAATAAAATGTGGTGTGGGTGTGTTTCCATCTCTCCACCTGTCTGCCTCAAGTTCTTCCAAACAGAATTCTATCTGAAAGTCAAGAAGTCCACTTGGGCTGGACCCAAGGCTTTGGGTTATTTCTAGATGCATCATTAATATTGTAGGCTGGAGAGGTGCAACTGTTCTATAAAATACCTATACCTTTTCTCCTGGGTGGATCTAGTTAGTGTTCACACGGGAGACCCCCAGGAAGTCCTCAAAGGATGGGCTGGGATGGAAAGTCAAAAAGCCATTCCAGAAGAAGGCAACCAAGCCATTGTAATGATCAAGAAAAACCTATGGATATGTCTAAGAGGTCACCAGGAGCTGACCTCAAGTAGAAGATTATTTTAGCTAGGTCCAGATTCCTTTGGAGAGAGTGGAGAATGTATGATCTGCTCCAAGGTTTAAAGTTCATTTCCTGGTCTCCCTGGTTTTTATTTATTTAGGAATTCATATGTACGGCTGAGGCATCTTTGCACCAACACTTGGGTGACCAGCACTAGTATCCCGATTGACAAAGATGAAGAAAGGCCTGTAATGTTAAAGGTAAAGAGGAAGTTTGTTAAATCGGACTTTGTCTCCATAAAGGACTTTTTCAATCCTCTGAGGGAGATGGATGGGTAAGAAGTAAAAAGATAGATAGATAGATAGATAGATAGATAGATAGATAGATAGATAGATAGATAGATAGATAGATAGATGATAGGTAGGTAGGTAGGTAAGTAGGTAGATAGATAGATAGATAGATAGATAGATAGATAGATAGATAGATAGATAGATAGATAGATAGATATGGGATGAATGAATGGATGGATGATTGATAGATATAGATCTATAGATGATAGATTATTGATAGATATAAATAGATATATAGATAGATTATTGATCGATTACAGATACATGATAAATAGATGATAGATAAAGATAGATGATGGATGGATGGATGGATGGATAGATAGATAGATAGATAGATAGATAGATAGATAGATAGATAGATAGATAGATAGATAGATATGGGATGAATGGATGGATGATTGATAGATATAGATCTATAGATGATAGATTATTGATAGATATAAATAGATATATAGATAGATTATTGATTGATTACAGATACATGATAAATAGATGATAGATAAAGATAGATGATGGATAGATGGATGGATAGATAGATAGATAGATAGAGGATATAGATCCATACATGATAGATTATTGATCGATTACAGATACATGATAAATAGATGATAGATGATAGATATAGATGATGGATGGGTGGATGGATGGATGGATAGATATAGATCTATAGATGATAGATTATTGATAGATTACAGATACATGATAAATAGATGATAGATGATAAAGATAGATGATGGATGGATGGATGGATGGATGGATGGATAGATAGATAGATAGATAGATAGAGGATATAGATCCATACATGATAGATTATTGATAGATTACAGATACAAGATAAATAGATGATAGATGATAGATAAAGATAGATGATGGATGCATGGTTAGAGAAATAGAGAGATAGATAGAGAGATAGATTGATGATGGGTAGATGATAGATAGATAGATAGATAGATAGATAGATAGATAGATAGATAGATAGATGATTGATAGTAGATGATATAGATGATAGATGATTGATTGATAGATGATAGATAGATGATAGATGATAAATAGATAATCGATTACAGATATATTGATGATAGATTATAGATAATGATAGATAGATAGATAGATAGATAGATAGATAGATAGATAGATAGATAGATAGATAGATAGATAGATAGATAGATGATGGATGGTAAAAGACAAATTGATAGATAGGTTGATTTATGGGATTGATTTATTGCTTTTTCCTCCCGATCCATAGATTGGAACCTGCCAGACAAAAGAAGACAAAGAAGCCTTTGCCATCGTGTCTGTTCCTCTGTCGGAGGTCAGAGACTTGGACTTTGCAAATGATGCCAACAAGGTTTTAGCATCGATGGTCAAAAATTTGGAGAACGGCTCGGTAACTCAAAATGAAAGGAGGCGAGTGATCTTTCTTGCCTTTTCTCTTTCAGTGTTTCCTGATGGAATGTACTGTGATTATAAGGAAATAATTGCATTATTATGTCTGTGTGTGTGTTTTAGAATAACAGTTCTGTATAACCACCCTAGCTGGCAACACCTGGCTAGTTTTAATCTGGGTTAGGAAGCTAAATGCGGATTGGAGAGGGGTTAGAAATGAAAAAAGACTTCAGATTTGAGTCCAGATGTTTTGTAATGATCAGCTGTGTTGAGATCTGTCATCATTTGACGGTGTAGAATTTAGGGGAGGTTGAACTGACGTGGAAATGAACTTTCTTTATTGTTGTTCAAGATCCTATCCTTGTTTCAAATGTATCTTAGGTTTGTCACGAAGCTCTTGGAAGATCTCATTTTCTTTGTGGCGGATGTGCAGAACAACGGCCAAGAGGTTTTGGACGTGGTGGTGATTAAACCCAATCGAGAGAGGCAGAAATTAATGAGGGAACAAAATATATTGGAACAGGTAGGTGGCTGACCAATGGAGTCTCTAAAATGAAGTGGAGAGATGCTGTATAATCCTTTCCTTGGTGGTGCCCACAATATTAAGGGATGGCATTTTTTTTTAAAAAAAATTGCAACCTGTTGTGACATGAGTTAGAAACTCTGAGTGTTGTATTAGCACAGGGGTGTCAAACTCAATTTCATTGAGGGCCGCATCAGCATTGCGGTTGCCCTGGGGGTGTGTGGCCTACTGGGTGGGTGTGGATGGAGTGGGTGTGGCCTACTGGGTGGGCATGGCCAGCTCTACATCGTTTGCGTCAAGGGTGCCTGTGGGGGCCTGGGCAGGAGTGGGACAGATCTGAGGGTCTCTGGCAGAAGGGGGGGGACCGGGGCAAGCGCCAAGGCATGGTCCATTTCTTCATTCCTCACAAAGGGGGACACCTCCCCAGCATGCACCCAGGGGGCGGGGCCGATGTGGCAGGGGCTGGTTCCTCGCTGTTTCCAGACGGCCTTGTGGAGCTAAGACTGAATGCATTTCAGCATAGATGGCCACCACAAAATTGTACATTGGCTCCCGGCCGGTCTGGGCCAGGGCCAAGGCAGCGGGGGCTGTTCCCTCACTGTTTCCAGGATAGCTTCATGGGTCACATGAAACCACTTCGCGGGCCGCATCCGGCCCCTGGGCCTTGTGTTTGACTTGTCTGTATTAGCACATCAAAGGGGCTCTAGACTGGAGAAATGTGTTTTGAGGAAATTGAACTACGGTATGATGTTTTTACCATCATTTACTTCCAATTTCCAACAAAACCCACCCAGTATTTACTTCCAATTTCCAACATTTACTTCCAATTTACTTCATTTACTTTTTAAAATTTTAAATTAAATTTATTCGATTTGTATCCCGCCCTTCTCCCGAGGGACTCAGGGCGGCTCACAACATTTTAAAACAGAAACATGCCCACAATCCCCGCCGAATAAAACCAATTAAAACCCAAATATTTTAAAGTTGTGATATTTAAAATTTTCTAAAAATGAACCCGATTTAAAATCCTCCCTAGGCCAGGCCCGCTTGCTGGAAAAGC